TGAAATCTCGTCCGAATACCCCTTCCGTGTTATTCCCGTCATGGCAATCTCGTCCAACCTATATTTTCCCTACTTTTAAGGAGCCTTTTTTTCTCGAAATTGACGAATTCTCCCGCTTTCTTCACTACCGATGAGTTACTCCCAATCTATACTTAAGCTTTTCGAATGAAACGGGTACCTCAAAATTATCGTGAATTGTGCCTTTAAATGGATCACTAGAGATTTGACTGGTTCTTTTTCGGTGACCGCGAGCCACGCCACCTTTTCATCTAGTAACGACTTGGACTACTTATAAAACTCTTGAAAAAAGAATAGAAGAAAGTAAATATTTCAAAATTTCAACCAAATTTGGATTTTCCCTATATTCCAACAAGGCCTCTAACGATTATATGCGTGGTTACATATAGTTTCTGACGTTACTTGAACAAAACATATTCCCCAGTGGTGTTCAATGCACACATGTTTCAACTTCAACTTTGACAAGATGCACATCCCAGAAAGTGAGGCCCAAACTACCTACAAAACCTACAGCCAGCGCATAAAATGGGTATGCTTCAAATGGCATAGTTATGTAAGAAAAAATTGAAAAACCTTAAAAAAGTGGCAAACGAGAAAAATTTTAATCTAAAAATAGCTCAAAAGTGAGGACGGTGAAATCATTGCACAAAAATTCAAACAAATTCCGATGCTTACAAGGTTCTAAGTGTCGGGAAGCTTAAGTAACGATAGGCTCCGTGAAGTTCACTTGGAGAAGTTTCACAATTCGAGATTCAAAGATAATGAGCAAGGGAGCTCTCAAAAAACAAAGACGGACGGGTAAATAGAGACCCAATAATATTTCAAATCTTTAGCATTAACTTTTTCCAAATAACATGAAGGGCAAAAAATTTAGCACAAAATAGGTAGTAAAAAAAGAAGAAGTAAGATAAGCACCATAAAAAGAACTCCTGTAAATCATAAGGACTTTAAAACGTACACATTGGTGGTGGAGGTTGCAGAGCTGTGGCCAGTAGAACAGCTAGCAAACGAGCTACAGCAAGACGTGTCTCGTAGTTAGAACCATCCAGTGCTTTTGTGCACAATGTGACTACTGCTTCAAGCTCAGTCGAGTAAAGCGGAGGATAAACTGGCACCAGCGCTGTCACGCACTAAACGTACAGAATATACGTCAAAGAAAGCGAATCATTCATAAAACGAATGACGTCACCAACTAAATCGTGAATTTTTTCAAATGACGTTTTTGACAATCTCAAAAAATAACGATAAATTCAGACCTGTAACGCAGCTGCTCGTACTGCCATAACTCTATCAGCCAAATGGGCTTTGGCGGCTTTGTAAACATCTTTATAAAAATTAGAAGCACCAGAGCCCAGCCCAGTAACCATACTCGACAATGTCATTAGAATTTCAGCACGTCCTTGAGACTAAAAACTTGGAATTAGAAAACCAGGATTTGTTCCAACTTTTACTGATACATGAGGTGAGTTGGATTTTGAAAACAACCACGTTCAACTTTCACAGATCTCAAAGCGACGGTAAAGAGGAAGTAGGGATGTTTGCAAAGCTACAACCGAATCATGTAGGCTTTTTGGACAAGATTTCAGGCTCACCGATCTACCCAAGCGCCTGGAAACCAAATTTACCACAAATTCACACCCCCCCCCCTTCCCCCACCCCCACTTCAGGACTTTAGCACAATTTCGAACGACAGTACAGTTCAGATCCTTGGAGCTTCGCGAACCTATCTTATTCTGACCTCCATCCATCAGCCAATTAATCCTCAGCTCACCCTTTTACCCTCCTCCGCTATTGGACTCCCTCTCTTGGCCCAATCCTCCTCCTAAGTCGTCAAGACGCACAGTGAACAGCAATGGAAACTGGTTGAGTTGTCCAAAGAATACGCGATCGAGTTTGCGGCGTATGATTCAAAACAATTACTAACCCAATACCGGTCAAGGAATCATTCATCGTTAAACACGGCCCATAAATCACAGCCTACAATACTTAATGAGAAGGATCTCTTACAATCACTATTGAATCACCCACATAGCAAATCAGAAAAAAAGTAGGAAACCTGAAAGGAGAACAAAGGAGCACATTTAAGGAGGAAATCTCATACCTCCGCCACTTTTAGCCACTTTACCATTATAGGAAACGTATCGACAAAGCTGGATCCACATCTCCCCATTGTCTCATAGAAAGAGGCTATACACGCGAGAGCAGCACTGATAATTAGAATATTTAGTAACTTTTACAAAAGTTTTGAATTATGTAAATATTGAAAACTTACAGCTTGGCTGGAAGTTGACTAGGAGAGTCATCTTTTATCTTCAATGTATCATTACACAACGTTAATGTATCACCAAATGTTGAACTATCACCAATTAAATATATTCGTGCCAAACATCTAAAATGCCACTTCATTGAAGAAATTTCAATATTTTACTGGAAAAATGCCAAAGACCACCTACCGTGCAAGTAAATATCGTATAGGGGGTCCATTAATGGTTGTTAACCGTGACAATAGTTGCTGGACCAACTGCGATTGTATCGATTTTAGGTCAGACTAAAAGGTAAAGGGTCCGATAAAATATCCAAGATCAGAAGAAATTACGGTCTACGACTAACCCTTTGCGTGACTGGTAAGATTCTATCCAAATATCGTAGCCATTCATAAAGAAAGACAGGTTTCTTAGGATCAGGGCACTGCTGAAAATGATCCTTTTCTAACTCAAATTCTAATAATAAAAAAACTCAAAAAAGAAAACAATCCTGAAACAGTTCACCACAAAAAGAAACCAAACCAAAAGTTGAAAAAAATAAATCAATTGATGTGCTACAGGACTCACCCTCAACGCTTCCTCATTTAGTAGCAAACTGTGAGATTCATCCATGCTATACAGAATACCTATATAAATAGTAATTATAAATGTAAACAAGAGATCCTCACGGAATTTCGGTAGCCACAAGGACGTCGAGAAAACGACAGCAGAAAAATCACGAAGCAATTCGTAGTACATATTTAATTCATTTTACGAAAAAAACAATAAACAAGCAAAGTAAAACTATACAACGCAAAATCACCAATTATCACATAATTATATCACAACAATTATAACCGTAATATGAGCTACGTTACAATCGACTCAATAGGGTTCAACAGGGTTAAAAGAACCGATAAAAAAGAACTTGCTGAGCTCAATACTGGTCTCCTACTTGAACCAATAACTTGCCCTGAACAAAAAATACATAAGACTCTAATACACTTGACAGACAAAGAGGAGGAAAGGGAGAGAAGGAACGATTGGGAGCTTCCATGTGGGAGCGTCTTGTATTGGCCGTTCCTCGAATGGAATGGCATGTTGTGCCGACTTTATCTGCTTCCCAACCATAAATTGGAGACACGCAGCCAACACAACACATCACTCTCTGAACATCAACGATCTCGATACCAACGATAGGGGACTTCTTCCAGCAACAAGGAGAGATAAAGGCATGGTAAACAGCCTGAAACCAACTGATCTAGTAATTTTTGGTGATAAGGCAACATGTAAATAAATAAACGAGTAAGTGAGGATGTCCAGAAAGAGGAAACAAAGATACCATGAGAAATCGTAGGAATAAAACAGATGGAGAAACCAAAAGTGCTTAGCTTCTCCCATTCAAACAGCCACACTAATTGGGAGGACACCAGTGCGACAGCACACAAATGAGTCCATTTTTTTTCTAAATTTAATTTTTGGAAAGTCATTGACATCTGTATGGCAGAACTCGCAAAAACTAAGAGCTGAGCTTGTTGCACTTATGTTATTCACTTCCATGGTTGGTTATTTGAATTCAAATCTCGAAATCAAAGGCAATCAGTGGTATGTTGAATTTGTTTATCAAAAATTGCAATAATATTCCGGCAAAAGATTATATTTATAACATTTTGATTTATTATTTGCTTAGTTCAAAGATGGAAGTTTCTATTTCCGAATCATCTTATTTGTCTAAAATACTCTTCAGTTTCTACCCTTTTTTCCAACAATTTCAGCTCTTTCAGAGACTCTAGCCGAAAATGATCACAATAAAAATAAATTTTTAAATAATATGCATGAATCAAGAGCATGATATTCAGTTAATCATCTAAGTTCAGGGCTATGTTTTAAAAGCGAACATGGAATCGTACTTTTAGTAGAGGTGTTTCTTTGACACCACATCCACTCCTTGTCCACTACCTCAAAAATAAATAAACAATCGCATCAAAGGGATAAACGAATAAATAAAAATGCGTAAGCTTTTCCAAAATAGAGTGTAGTAAAGACCATACAGCTAAATTAACAGTCTTTATATTGACGTTCATGTGAATCTTTAACAGGAAGGGACTGAAAAAAAGCCTTTTGAGGTTGCAAAGCATAATTGCGACAACGTCAAAGGACAATAGCAGTGCCTCCAACGGAAAACAACCATTACATACACAGGTACCCCGCCATTGGCCTTCCAATTATTCCACATTCGCTTTGCCCATGTCAATCAACAAGAAACGGCCAGCTGCAGAGCCGGCCTCTTTATCATGCAATGGAAAAAACCCTGTCAAATTGTGTCCAAGAAATTGGTAATCAATGAGCGACCAACAAATTAAGGAACTACTTGACTAGGGGACTATTTCAAGGTTTCGGCTAGCTACATGAATAGCTCAGATACCTATTATGGTACCATCCTATGCTGCTAGCCAACTTTACCGAATGACATCTCGCTGGTAACGAAATAGATATCGATTTTATGTGCGTATAATCGATGTCCACCTTCGGAGTATACTCAAAGGCGATGCAACCCATCCAGATCCAGATACTGTCAAGACAAGTTTATTTATAGCGCACTCCCATATCCCTTTACCTCCTCCCCCCACCCCATCGCCCCAAGTTCACCATCACTTCAAATAAATAATTCGGACGAGTTTCTGCCGGCTATTTCCCACTGACACCACGTTATTTGCGTCACCAAATTAATTCATTCCATTAAATAATATCTGTGACGTATTCCAATGACGCCCTTCTATGAGAAACCTATAAAAATGATCTTTATTAACCTTTTACTTTTAGAATGTGGTCCTAACTCATTTTTACCATCGAGAGCACCTAAACAGAGGACGTTTTCGAGTTTTTGATAGACGGCGCAACAAATTGCATCACCAAATGACGCCCGTCAATAAAATTCTAAATGTGTTCTAAATTTCGTGAACGGCAGAACATAAATGCATTTTAATGGCCGTTAAGCCACATCCAACCAAACGCATCGTCTAACAATCTCTATGAAAGTCAATACTTGATAAAATCGCTAGTTCTTAAAAAATATAGAAGGTGGTGGATGGTGACCACGTTGCTTTCTCGATAAGGAAATTTTTGTCAAAATTGTCAGGAGAAAATTAGAAAAGACTGAAATGCATGGCGCAATCACCTAGAAAAAGATCCATCAAATCAAAAACATCGTCCTGAGGCCGTTTTCCTTGACGTGACCGAGATTTGGGTGGAAGTTGTGTAAAGAAAAAAGTGCAAATGTTGAAAACATTCCGTCAGCCTTCCGCCAGCAAAAAAAAAACAGAAGACATCGCCCAAGCATTCGAGTTGTCCGACCCACAGCAGAATCACTCCTTTCTCCATATTAATGCATGGCGTTCCGATTATACCACTGAATACTCACCTCCTCTCCCTCTTTCATCGTGACACACTGACTGAATGGCCCCCATGGGAGAGTGATCCCCTTCTCCCTATTCCGTTAAGGCATCTTGATTGTCCCCACAGAAATCGTTCCCTTCACCATGTTCCCTCGGAGCACTCTGATTGTCTCACTGGAGAATCGTAGAATCGCTCCCCCTTTCCTCACAAACCTCGGGAGAACCTCTGGATCTATACACTCTGTGAAAGTCAGCCTTTTTTGTGAAACTTTCCCAGTTATAAATTAAACAATGTAATTGAAGAATACATACGTGAGCATTCAATGGGTATCGCCCCTCTCTTTTTGTGGTGGAATATTTATTTCGTTAGACATTCCGACAACGTCGCTCCCCAAGGCTCCAAAGCTTGAATTTTGAAGCTTGTCGGAAAAGTCAATTTCCACTCAGCCAAGATCCATTCCTTTCACAGGAACCTTAGACACTGCTTGACCTACCCACAGCAGGTAGAAGAGTCCCAATCAGGATCCAATTTCTTAAGCGTAAGTTCGATAGCGCACACCGGGCCGCTAAGGATCTACGGATTGAAAAATACTTGAGAGGACTAAGGAAATGTAGAAAAGGAGCGTACATTCTTGTGACGATGCGAAGCCTCTATACAGCTGTCAACATTTCTTCAGCTTACCGTGCCATGAACGAAAAAGCTCTGTTAAACTACTGCCCACGAAGTAATTCTATACTACCTAGTAGAAGCTGAAGCTGTATAGCCACCTGCTAAGTCACGTACATGCATGAAAGCTTCCGAGCAGTACGATGGGCCACGGAAGAAGCAACCGAGCTCCTCGTTTTTCACCCTTGCATCACGTAATCAAATAGAAAGCCATCCAAGTGACTCAATACGATTCTGTATGCTTCAGATGCATCAGCTCTATGGCCCACCATGATGTGAGAGTAGAAAGAAAACAGCTTTCAAGAGAATAAAGGAGTATTGCCCTACAGGAGAGGTTTTTTGTTTCAAACCTCTACAAACTGCTAGAGGGGGGAGGGGGGAAGCTATCATTGGTCCATCATGCCGGAGTAGAGGGAAAAATAGGTTCATAGTAATTGTCGAAAAGTACACATGAACGCACCACTAACTTTCATGAAAAATATCGTCTTGTTCGAAAATTCATCCTAAAGTGCAGACCCAGAAAAAATTTTTTAACTGAATTCAACTCTATTCAAGTGAAGAGTCACGGTAGTCATTAACAAACAGATAATTTCCCTTTCCCCTCTTCAGTATGAGTCCCACCCGCCCGGAAAAAGTTACGGAACTATTTCTAACCAGGGAAGAGAGCCATAGAAAGCACCAAGAGGAAGCTCAACATTGGCTGAAGCTAGCTTTTCATAGTGAAGGTAGGCATCAAAGGCGGCCACCCATATTATCGACCTCTAAATAGACTGACATCGAATTTATTACCAGCTGGCTCAGAGGAAATATGGAATCAAGCGAAAAATGCATTCCGCTTTATGGATTGGACATTTCTGGCCAAAATGACATCGATTTCCTACGAAAGATGAATGGCCCAACTGACGAAAACCGTCAGATGCCCGTCTCGACGAAAAATGGGAAAAATCGCCCTTTCCTCGGGAATATGTAAATCAGAGGCTACACTAGGCTGGGGCTCAATGAGCTCGTAAATTTTAAAGGGCAAAACACTTACTATTACTGTGGCAGCTTACTTAGTTCAACTTATTGACCGCCGGCTTAGTTCAACTTATAGACCAGGCTCGAATCAACAGCTTGAGCATAATTCGTTTTTCATATTTTATTTTATCATTTTCTTTTTCTAATGAAAATCCCCTAACCAAAACCGGAATGATGTCATGAGGACCAGAAGGGGCCACTCATCCGGGCATTAACAAATCCTACAAAAAATACCCTTACAGCCATATAACCGTCATTGCAGAATACACGTCGAGGGATGGAAACTACGAAATCTTCTCTACCACCGTTAACTCGTCCATTTCACGTGCCGAAAGACTTAGGACACCTTTGCCTTTGACTACTTCCTCAGAAGAGGAAAGAGTAGGTAAAAATAACCGAAATCTTTGTCCGAATCGATAAAAATGTGAATTCCAATAGAAAAATGGTGCAGTTTTATGCGAATAAAAATCTGAACCGAAAAAGTTTCTAAGAATTTTCGAAAATCTAATCTAAATCGTTAAAAACACAAATTTTCAAAGGAAAGTTATGCCGAT